TTTTTTTTTTTTGGTTGCAGCCCTCATTGTTTTTTGGGGTCCGGGCTGGGGATTCGAACCCGCCACCTTAGGTGTACGTGGCTGGCACCTTAGCCCGTTGAGCTATAGGCACCGAGCCAAGCTCTGGTTTTTTGAAGGACCTGTTTTACCTGTGATTCTTCTGCAGTTCTGATGAAAGGAACATTGGTCATTTTTGCCTACCCCATGTCTGTTCTCTTTTTCTTTTAGGTCCCCCTGTTTCCTTTTAGGAAATCACCTCTCCTCATTGAGTGTACTCTTCTTGGGAGGCTGAATCTTGGTTAAGTACTCACATCATGAAAGAAGGAAAGTTCTTTCTTCTGTCTGCACCTGTGTAGATCAGTGTGACATAAACGCTGCTAAATAGATGCTCCCTCTGGGACTTTGACTTTTTTTTTTTTTTTTTTTTTTGAGACAGAGCCTCAAGCTGTCCCCCTGGGTAGAGTGCCATGGCATCACAGCTCACAGCAACCCCCAACTCCTGGGCTCAGGAGTCTTCTGCCTCCACCTCCCAAGTAGCTGGGACTACAAGCGCCTGCCACAATGCCTGGCTATTTTTTGGTTGCAGCTGTCATTGTTGTTTGGTGGGCCGTCTGGATTGGAACCCGCCAGCTCAGGTGTATGTGGCTAGCACCTTAGTCACTTGAGCCACAGGTGCCGAGCTGGGACTTTGACTCTTAACCAAGTGGCCCAAGGATGGAATGGCTGGTTGGAGGTCATTTATTTTGGTGGTGGTGTGCTTACCAGACAGTTTCTGCCACAAACCCTTGCTGTGGTCCTTGCTACCTGGCCCTCTAGTGGCTTCTGACTTTTTCTAAGCCTGGTCATCTAGCCTTCAGTCAGGTCTCTGAACTGCAGGTAACTTTGTAATGAATTGGAATTCTCTTCTGTGTAAGTCATCCAGTGTATCTTACACTACATGAAATGAAGACCCCTATCTGATAGTCCAGGCTGGCTGCTCCTCCAGCAAAACAGCCTGGTTTCTTTCACTTCATTTCTCTTGTGAGGCAACAATCGGTGCATGGCTCTTTAAAAAATGCTTTACTGGAAGTTTCCTTCTTTAAACTCATTTCAAGCCATGTTATTTGTCCTTTTTGTTCCCAGGCTCTGGCTCCTTGTAATAGACTCCGATAAAACTGTTCCTTTATTCTCTGCAATGATTCTTCCTTGTCTGATTCCTCACCTCTAGCAGCCTGACCTTGTGCTCTGGCTAGCACTGATTGGTCAGATTTAGTCATCTTGCTCTAAGTGGGCCAATTAGATTTCTCTTTCCTCAGTGTTTGGCCTAGAAAATATGAAAATTCCTTACTTCCTTAGTGTTTCCTAAGTTTGGCCTAGGGAATATGAAAATCATAGGTTTCAGAAAACTAAGCGTTGGAAATGGTTTGGTGTCTAATTTCTGTTGTGGAGGTTTGGTGTCTATTTTCTTTCTTTCTTTCTTTTTTTTTTTTTTTGCAGTTTTTTTTGGCTGGGGCTGGGTTTGAACCTGCCACCTCTGGCATATGGGGCCGGCACCCTACTCCTTGAGCCACAGGCGCCGCCCTGGTATCTAATTTCTATTGCTGAGGTTTGGTGTTTGTCCTAAGTCCCATCACTTCTCACTTTTCAGGAGAGTTCCAGTAAATTTACCTTTCTTAAGTTTTCTAATATTGGCTTATGTTATCTACAACCAAAAGAACCTTAATTGTAGTCCCCATGTGATAGAAGGCTCCTTGGAGACAGGCCAGATTGTCATTCATTCATCCATTTATTCATCAAACATGTATTAAGCACTTGCTGTTTGCCAGGCACATGCTAGGCACTAGGAACCCAAAGATGAATTAGACAATTGTCTGAACTCAAGGAGTTTGCTCTCTGTCTAGTTGGACGTATAAATGTATCCATTCATTCATTTATTTAACAAATAATTCATTTATTCAACTAACAATTGCCAACACTCATTTAATATTATGTAACAGGCTAAATGGTTTTCTTTTCTAATTCTCGGAACAACTCTATGAGGCATGTCCCATTCTACAGAGGAAGGAACTGAGTTACAGAGAAGTTAGGCAGCTTTCCCTAACTCACAAGTTTCTAAGTGCTGGAGCTGGACTTCAATCCCAGTATGTCTGAGCTCTTGCCTGTAAGTACTGTGTAATGTTCCTGTCAAAATAAAGAATCTCAAAGCAGGGTGACACATGCTTATACAGATGTATATACAGTTCACAGAGGAGAAAGCCACTGATTTTGTGGGAAGGCTGGAGTTCAAGAAAGGCTTTACAGCTGAAGTGGTTTCAGCAATCTTGAAGGAGAAAAGAGTTGTGTTCTTGGTGGCTAGCATAGAACTCTGCATATGAACTCTGTGAAATGATGATGAGGCATCTTTTGCATCTGAAAGGAGCCATCTCCCTGTTTGCAGAGCCTGGGTACTTCCTACAGCCTACTGAAGTATCATTTTTGTCATTTAGCAATAGGATGTTAAGTAATCAGATTGTTTGTGTATTATATGATTGAGGCTCACAAAAACCTTGTGGGGTTAAGTAGTACAGGTATGAACTTTGTAAGGTGAGTGAGGAAACCAGGGCTGAGTCTGCATGACTCGTCTCAGAGTACACATAGTGAGTAAGTGGCAGAACAAGACAAGGAGCTGGTGTCCTGCCCTCAGGAAGGAGGGACAGGTTAATAGGGTGCCTGTAATCTAGCTAGGTTCCTTTACTCCTCTCAGGCTGCAGTTCAGACTTTGCTTTTTCCAGGGTCTGCAACTGAGATTCTGAAGGTTCCTTCTCTCTGGAACACCCTCCTTTTCCAACTCAGTTTCAGCTGTCCAAATCCTCATCTTCATCAAGACCTACCTCCTTCCACATATTCCTTGAAAGCCTTCTCCAGATTCATTCAGCCCACTGTCTAAGATACAATTAAATCCCTTGCCCCTGCTTCCAAACAGATTTCTGCCCTGAAAACTTCCTACATCCAGTCTCCCTCTTCAAAACTCCTGTGGCCTAACCACTCATCAATTGGTTGTTTACTGTTGTTTTCTTTATATGTGTACTTCTTATCTCTGACCGGAATATAAGCTCCATTAGCACAAGCCATATGTTTCCTTTTTAGCCTCATATATTCTCTTTGGGATTATAGTGTTTGCCAACCCAGAGAGATAATAGGCCCTGCCCACTTCATTAGATTGTTCACCTCCCAAATCATGCAGAACCTGTACTGTGTCAACTCCTGTCTTTCTTTTTTTCTTTTTGAGTGCAGTGACGTCATCATAGCTCACAGCAACCTCAAACTCTTGGGCTCAAGCAATCCTCTTGCCTCAGTTTTTCTATTTTTAGTAGAGACAGGGGTCTCACTCTTGCTCAGGCTGGTCTCAAACTCCTGAGCTCAAGCAATCTGCCTCCCTCCGCCTCCCAGAGTGCTAGGATTATGGGTGTGAGCCACCACACCCAGTGTCAATTCCTAAAGCTGCTGAAGGGGGAAGGAAGAAAGCAGGGACTCTAATAGGTACATTTAACAATTAATAACTAACAATGAATGCTTACTAAGTGCCAGGTTTTGGATAAAATATATTACAAGTATTAACTTTTAAGTCTTCATGACAACTGTTAATATCCCCACTGAAAAGATGAAGACACATAGAAGTCACTTAGCTAGTAAGTGGCATAGCCTGGATTCAAACTCAGACCCACCCCAGAGTTCATACTCTCAGCCATGACACTAAATTCTTTTTTTTTTTTTTTTTGAGACGGAACCTCAAGCTATCCCCCTGGGTAGAGTGCCATGGCATCACACTCACAGCAACCTCCAATCCTGGGCTCAAGCGAGTCTCCCGCCTCAGCCTCCCAAGTAGCTGGGACTACAGGCGCCCCGCCACAACGCCTGGCCATTTTTTGGTTGCAGCCATCATTGTTGTTTGGCGGGCCCGGGCTGGGGATTCGAACCCGCCACCTTAGGTGTATGTGGCTGGCGCCTTAGCCGCTTGAGCCACAGGCGCCGAGCCGACACTAAACTCTTTATGGGTAACAAAGTCTCTTGCTGTAATGTATATCAGTTTCCTTTCTTTCTTACAGTCCGGGCAGATAGGATTAAAAGGTGAGAAAATATTTATTATGCTCCTAGTACGGGCCAGGTATTATGATAGATGCACAGTGGGTCTTGAATTCTTGCAACGCAGCTATGAAGCAGAAAGTATTAACTCCATTTTACACAATTTGGCTTCTAAAGTAGTTAAATACAATGGTCAAGTTTTAGTTTCCAATTATTAGCAGAGTTGGATCTAGACCAGGTTTCTTGGAACCCGGTTTGAAGGACCGTCTTTAAAGGAGATAGTACAGAAAATACTGATAGGGACAAATGTGAAGGGCACATTTGCGTTAATGTGTGCGGCTTACTGAAGAATGGTAAGAGACTGCCAAAAAAGCTATTCTGTAAAAACGCAGAGGAATCAGGTAATAAAATAGAGGAACTGCCTGTGACGGGATAGCATTCAAGCCCTAGAACTTCCAGAGGCAAGGGCAAAGAGGGCGCCACCAGCGTTAGAGAACCCGGCAACCCGCTCAAGAGATTTAGCCTCAGCCCCCTTTCTTTCCTCACACTGCTATTGGCTACTTCTTCGTGGACCCCGCCTCCTCCTCGCTCTGGGCCATTGAGCAGCCAAGTCCTACCTACGACCTGGCTCGGGCCTCCAATCAGATGCCAGGCCCACGAGGTCCCCCTTAGAGAAGCCCCCTCTACACCAGCAAGGCGCTTCCTTCTTGCCCGTGATTGGCCGGTCGGGGGCAGAGGGTCCACCTTCTCTTTCCCCAGATTGGTCAGTGGTGCTTAGGCCCACATCCCTCTCGGCTCATCCCCGCCCGGTCTCCTCCTCCGCGGCCCTGCCCTGGGCGAGCCTCGTTCTCCCGGGCCAGGGCTCCGCCCCCGAGTGACGGCCAGGCCAGGAATTGGCGGCGGAGCTGCATTCATTTCCGGTTTCGGGAAGGTGGGTGGGGTGCGGAGCGGGACTTGGAGCCGCTGCCGCTGCTGCTACCGCCTACAGAGCCTGCCTTGCGCTAGGTGCTGCCAGGAGGATGCGGCCGGGGCCCGGAGGCTGCTGCTGCCGTCGCCCGGTGCGAGCGAACGGCTGCGTGGCGAACGGGGAAGTGAGAAACGGGTACGTGAGGAGCAGCGCCGCAGCCGCCGCTGGCCAGGTACGGGGACATTGAGCGGCGGGCCGGGGCGGCCGTACGGGGCAGCGAGGTCGCGGCGACCGCCCGCGCAGCTGGGCGCGGCTCAGGTGTGCTGGCCGCGGTGTCCGGGCGCTGACCCCACCTTCCCAAGCCGGGAGATTCAAGGACGGCACAGGGGTTCTCCATCCCTCCGCGCCTGAAGGTCTTCCTCCCCTCCCCTTGGAGGTTTGGGCTCTCCTCAAAAACCCAGGTATCTTTCTCTACCTGATCCGACCAGAAGTGCGGGCCACCCCCAAGGGGAGGAAGTGAGTGACATCTCAGACCCTGGTAGGAGCCTTTCGGTGGCTCCTGGTTCTTTCTTCCGAGGCTCCCTCTTTAAACCCCTGCGGTAGTTGCTTCTTCTTAAAGTCTTGCAGCCGTCCGAGGGAAACGACCCTTGGGGTCCATAAGAGGCAAAGAAAGTTAGGAGGAGGTGCCGGGTGGAAACACACCCAGTATCTTCAAGCCGCATTCTAGATTCCCTCCAAAAGCAAGACATTGCACTGTAGATCTTGTAGTGAACTCAGTCTGGTGTCTCGAGAGCATTATCCTCTTCATCTGCCCCTGGTGAGACCTTATCCCAGGCTCCTGGTTTAGCTGGGTGATCCCTTTAACTGAGCAAGAGTGGGGATTGTTTAACCTGTGACGAGTGATGGCGACTTGTGATGAGCCTCTGTACTAATTAAACAAGGTGGAATCAGCACCCAAGCTCAGGAAGTTCTAAAATATTATGAAAAGTTCTGAGTTCAAGACAGTACTATTATATATCAACCTTCCAGTTCCCTGGACTTGCAGGTATTCTGCTGAAATGTGTTTTTAAATATTTTGCATCTTTTTAACCAGCTTGTAAGTGTTGCTGGGATAGTGTTGTAATAATTTGCAATCGACTTTAATACTTTTAAGAGTCGTTCAGATAGAATGGAAAACTTTATTAAAAGGTACTCAGTTTCCGGCTCGGCGCCTGTGGCTAAGGTGCTAGCCACGTACACCTAAGGTGGCAGGTTCGAATCCAGCCTAGGCCCGCCAAAACAACAATGACGGCTGCAACCCCAAAATAGCCCGGCGTTGTGGCAGGCGCCTGTGGTCCCAGCTACTTGGGAGGCGCTTGAGCCCAGGAGTTGGAGGTTGCTGTGAGCTGTGATGCCGCGTCACTGTACCCAGGGGGACAGCTTGAGGCTTGGTCTCAAAAAAAGGGTACTCAGTTTCCCTTAGCAGGAATGTGACTGTGGCAATTTTGATAGGATGGTGATCTAAATTTGGCTTTAACATAAAATAGCTGGCAGTTTCCTCTCCAAATCAGTAGCTTTGAAGAATAGTCCTGTTTCTATTTGGCGTGAAGCAGAAAATAAAGCATTTCTCCAGATCGTGTTGAGATCTTGAGACTGAGAGTTGTGGGGGAAAGTACATGAAAGGACTTGATCTCCCTTGCAGTTGTAAGGTGTCAAGGCAAAGTAATACATGGATTCAAAAGATTTGTTTTCACTTTTTAAGAAATAATTGTGTGTTGCTGGGCAGGGTGGCTCACACCTGTAATCCTAGCACTCGGGTGCTGACACCCAGAGGATCAGTTGAACTCAAGAGTTTGAGCCCGGGCTCGGCACCTATAGCTCAACTGGCTAAGGCGCCAGCCACGTACACCTAAGGTGGCGGGTTCGAATCCCCAGCCCGGACCCGCCAAACAACAATGACGGCTGCAACCAAAAAATAGCCGGGCGTTGTGGCGGGCGCCTGTGGTCCCAGCTACTTGGGAGGCGGAGGCAGGAGACTTGCTTGAGCCCAGGAGTCGGATGTTCCTGTGAGCTGTAATGCCAGGGCACTCTACTCAGGGGGACAGCTTGAGGCTCTGTCTCAAAAAAAAAAAAAAAAAGAGTTTGAGCCTGAGCAAGAAAGACCCCATTTATACTGAAAATAGAAAAATTAGCTGGCAGGCCCAGTAGGCCCAGCTACCTGGGAAACTGAGGCAGGAGGATCACTTGAGCCCAGGAGTTAAGAGATTGCAGTGAAGTAGGCTGATACCACTGCATTCTAGCCAAGGGTGACAGAGTGAGACTCTGTCTCAAAAAAAAAGAAAGAAAGAAATAATTGTGTGAGAGAGGAAATGATAAGAATCAGCTTTTCATAAGCAGTGGAAGAATTTATTTTTCTAGCAATGTAAATGGCCAAAACACAATTGTGGTGTAGAATGTAACAAAAATTTAACAGGTAGGAGTTAGAAAATACATTGCAGGTGAATGAATGAGGTATGATTTTTTAGTGGAAAAAGGAAGTCGGGGAGAAGGTGTTTACACTTTTGAGGTGCTTTGTATTTGAGTGTTCCTTTTGATACCTAGGAGTTAAGTTCTGATTTAGTAGTAAATCAAGGTCTTCCAGACCATAGTCTCTTAACAGTTTAGCATTTGTGGGTGTATTTCTTCAGAGGTTGCCAACTAATATGATGAAGAAATATTAAGGTACTAAAATGAAATTTTAAAAATCTGTGTGACTGTAACATCTGGCTATCTTTCTGGACCTTATTTTAATGAAAAATTTCGCTCAAGACACCTTAGTGGTGTTTGGAAGAATGGTCTATTGGAAGGCCTTAAGGGCTGTAGTATCCCTTCTAGAAAACTGTTTCTCACAAGTCTTTTTAAAACAGGATCTGTAGCTCTGTACAATGATAGAGAAAAACATTTATCTGTAGGATTTTTCTTTAAGAAAAAGAAGGAGAAAGAGTGATCTTGGTAACTTAATGAGAACAATGCAGTATCTTAAATATTTTTAAAGTTGTTTTTGTTCTAATGAAAGTGATGTGCTAGTGCTCCAACCTCTACCTGTCTTTACTCTCTTTCTGGGGGAAGTGTTGACAATTATGCCCTCAAAATATACATAAGATGTTAAAATGTGCATTATGCTTTTACTAAGATATAAATTTAGAGGATAACATGATTGAGATGTAAATTCCCTTCCTCACATATCCCAACATTTGTCTTTTTTTTTTGAAACAGAATGTCACTATGTCGCCCTCAGTAGAGGGCCATGGTGTCACAGCTCACAGCAACCTCCACCTCTTGGGGTTAAGCGATTCTCTTACCTCAGCCTCCTGAGCAGCTGGGACTACAGGCACCTGTCATAACACCCGGCTAGTTTTGGGTTGCAGTTGTCATTATTGTTGAGCAGTCCTGGGCCGGGCTCGAACCTGCCAGCTTTGGTGTTTGTGGCTGGCGCCCTCACTCACTGAGCTACAGACGCCAAGCCCAGACTTCACTGTTTATAATGATGATAGTAGACACAACTTCTTCACGAGATTTGCAGTTGAACAATATAGCAGTAATTTTTCCTCCCTGCCCTAAAGGATTAGAGTTTGCCTGAGGGAAATGGACAGCATTTGCATTGGAAAAAACCTCTAGGCCAGGGGTCTGGGGCTCTCACTTTTAATCCTAGCACTCTTGGAGGCTGAGGCTGGAGGATGCCTTGAGATCAGGAGTTCAAAACAAGCCTGAATAGAGATCCCTTGTCTCTACTAAAAACAGAAAAATCAGCAGGGTGTTGTGGCGGTTGCGTGGGAGCCTCGCTCTATTAAACCCAGGTGTTTAAGGTTTCTGTGAGCTAGGCTGATGCCATGGCTCTTTAACCTGGCCAACAGAGTGAGACTATGTCTCAAAAGAGGACTCTGTAGGGGTTTATGTGAAGTCTCTCTATCTCTTTTGAAGGAATTTAATAAATTGCTTGGCCAGGTGAGGGGATTCATGTCTATAATAATAATAATAGCATTCTGGGAGGCTGAGGCAGGTGAATTACTTGAACTCAGGAATTCAAGACCAACCTGAGCAAGAGTGAAATCTTGTCCCTACTAAAAAATAGAAAAAAATGCACCTAAAATATGTTAGTTTGTTTTAGAAATTCTTATAATAGCAGCACTTTTAAAAGATCTTCCATTTCTTTATAGAGCTTTTGAGATTTGGGTCCTCATTTTACTTAACAAGTGTGAAAGGGGAAAAAAGTATCTGTGTTTCAGACAGTCTTGAACCTAGCTTTCTTCCTCTTGGGACTAACTTTATTTATTTATTTATTTTTGAGACAGAGTCTCACTCTGTCACCCTGGGTGGAGTGCCATGGCATCATCTTAGGTCACAACAACCTCAAACTCTTGGGCTCAAGTGATCCTCTTGCCTCAGCCTTCCCAGTAGCTCAAACTACAGGCACCTGCCACAATACCTGCCTAATTTTTCTGCTTTTATTAGTGATGGGGTCTTGCTCTTGCTCAGGCTGGTTTCCAACTCCTGAGCTCAGGGGATCTGAAATACAAAAAATAAGAGCTTTCCAGTTGCCAGAATAAATTAGAGTGTATCTTGAGAAGTAGGGCATAGTTAGATTATTTATATGGTTAAAAAATAAGAAAAATGAAGTAGAAAGAACAAAGTGTTAGTCCTGCTATTTTTTTTTTTTTTTTTTTTT